CACACACACACACACACACACACACACACACACACACACACAGTTCTTGTGATTAATCAAAGCAGCTCATTAAACTGTTTCTGCTCTGAACATCAGAGGAAAGCTGAGTTTGTTGGAAAGTTGTTGTTGTTCTTTCAGCTCACCAGGTGGTTGTAATGTTTGAGATAATGGTCACCAGCTGAGGGCAGGGAGGCAGAAAACTCTGTTAGCACCAAGACGTTGTGTTAAAGAGGCTGATTCAGTTTAAACAGCATTACTAATCATTCATACTGTTGTTTTCCTCTTTAAAGTTGCTTTATTTTGCTTTTTGCAGTCAAACGTCCACCTAGTTTACACTGTTTTAACTATTTAATTATGAAAATGTCCATCTTTAACAGGACTGCTCAGCTATTACTTTTCGTTTCAGTAACTTTTATACTTTAAGTAAGTTAATCTCAAGCATTTTCCCTTTAGAATTACATCAAAATCACTTCAATTCTTTTGAATATTATCAAATAAAATGTATTTATGCATACAGCTTTATGCTCCACCTTTAGCAAAAAGTAGTGTACTTGAAGTTCATTTTAATAAGAATACTTGAGTATAAGTTTAACTATATCAAATAGGCACCAGGTACTTGTTGTGTACTAGAAAGTATACTTATTTAGTACTTGTTTATACTAAATTGGCATTTTTCATTTATAAAAAGTATACTTTAAGTATACTGTTATAATGTCATTGTACATTTATGAACTTACCAAAAAGAAGCATATTTTAAGTACATGTCTTTAAGTATGCTAAAATATATACAAGGGTATTTCCTTAAGTGTACTTTTATTTTCCATGTACACTGATATAAGTATACTGTTTACTAACAAGTATACTTCTAGGACTAAATTGGCCCACAGTAAGTTAATGAAAGTATACAAAAGGACACTGAAAGTAATCTTCTAAGTATACTTTTAGTTTAATCTTGAAATATTCTACAAATAAACCAGGCTGTGTGAAAAAGTACTTTCAGTGTATCACACTATAAAGTTTATCTCAGCCAAAAGTTGAACCATTAGTATAAACTAAGTATACTTAAACTTTTAGTATACTTTTAGTACAAGCCAAGTATGGTGTAAGATAAACTTGGTTAAGTATATCTCAGATAAGTACATAAAAAGTAAACTGGACGTATACTCTTATATTTTTTAGTTCAAAATTAGTGTACCTAAAGGATACTTGCTGTATTACTTTTTGCTAAGGGCCTTTTAGCTATTAGCTACTCCTTAGCTAATTTCAGCTTATACTGTATGTTTCTGTTAATTTTAGCTTTTAACAAATAATAACTAATAATAATTAATAACTAATTTTAGTGTTCACCTTCCTGTTAGTTTTGTTTTTAAAGCATTTATGGTTTTGATAGCATTAGCTCTTGCTGATTGTAGCTTATGTTCGGCTGGTTTTAACTTAATTCAGTTAATGATTAATTCTTCAGCTCGTTCCAGCGAAGTCGTTCAGATAAAGATCATAAAGCAGCAGCAGGTGGAGGTTACGAGGCTGACCTGAGGTTAACACCAACTGTTAACCTTAGGAAAACAGATCGTTGACTTGCTCATGTGAGGAAGAAGAAGGTCATCAGTTTGACCTTTGGTTAACCGTTCGGTTCATGTGTCTGCTCAATTCAGAGCCCCTCCTCACTCATCTCATGGAAAAAAAAAAATTTTACTCTGCAGAGGCTGAAACAAAAATAGAACACATTTTATGAGATTTTTGTGAGATTCACTTTGTTTTTAGTAAACTGAAGAGACTGAACATTAGAAAACGTTCATTAAAAACAGATTTCTCAGAACGCTGTCATTTTCTCCCTCTGTGGAGTCAAGTCGATCTTTACAGGATTGCTTCACAGAAAGTTGTTCCTGTGATTGTGGTGGGATTTACTAACCGTCACGGTGGATTGGCCACGCTCCCATGGGAAAATAAAAGTGGGCGGGGCACACGGGCCTGCGTTCAGA